ATAGCCACTTACAGGGTCGTAAAGCATGTGATAAAGGAAACTGAAATGCTGCATGCTATGATGATGTTATCAGTGTGTCATTCTTGTGGAACAAGAAGACACACTCAGCAAATTTAACGTGATCCTTAATCAGTGCAAACAATTACTGACCTGTGAGGGTGACAGAGCACCGATTGATACAGGTAAGAGAGAATGGTTAGCAAGTCCAAAGAGTAAAGGCTTTGCCTTACTCTCAGGTGTGGCTACCTGCCAAACTGCTATGTTGTTGTTATACATAAATAAATACAAGGATAAAACTAAGGTATCTTCACACAGTTAACAAACCATTTCAGATGCTTTACCACCACACTAGAGTGAAAAAGAGTCAACTAATTTGCATCTAGAAAACTCAGATACAAAACAGACCAGTGATCTGATTTAGATATCTGTGGGAATTCTACATCCTAACTCGTGAAATAACCAGAAACCCCTCTTAACCCTATACTACAGCCTGCCACGCCATTCAGTCGTTGCGGGCTGTGTCAACCTGAAATGTAGAATTTCTCAGGAGGTGCACATTAGGCTATGTTCTAAATTAAGACGTAGATTTCCTACTGAAGCGTACTAGAGAACTGTTTACATCATAACCTACAAATTCATCTTACTGGTCAATCAGCAAAGAACCAGAGTCAACTTTGGTGTTCTTTCCAAGTGGTCATATGATTCAACAAAACAGGGATCATTCCTATTTTAATTTTTGCAAGTTAAAACATTCAATGGCCTGGAGTTACATTTCAGCCTGGCTTAACAATAAGAAATGAATGAATGGTAGTTGATTCAACCTGTTTGGCCATTATGTTTTCCTTACATATAAAATACTGTAATTTATTGGTGAATCATATTATCACAGAGATACTAAAAAGATTTCAGTGTTCTCAGGTTCACCCAGCTTTAAGGTTTCTTATGAAACTGTTTACTAAGCTTTTTTTTTTTTTTATAAATTATTGTGAAAAATTAAAAGTTCCCTTGAAACCATGTTTGAATAACTGTAATATAAAAACTACTTTTGAAAGATGGCATAATGAGCATGAAAACTGAGCTTGATAGCAATAGTAGTGATTAGCAGCAGATAAGGGCTGCATATACAAGAAGCATAGTTTGTATTCTGCCTGGCGACAGCTTATTGCACCACCACAACAACTTGTGCCAACGAGGAAGTAACGCAATGTAAAATTAAATTTAAAAGACAAAAATAGGAAAAAAATTGAATAGTTTGTGTGACTCACCCTGAATCTCCCAGGATGATGACTTTCAGGAGCACTTTCTTCCTGGATGTCATTTTTCCACAGCTGCAGTAAGACAAAAAGCAAGAGGGTTTAGTTACTAATGCTTTCCTGACCTCGTCATAGCAAGTCACAACCTAACCACCAGCTGTCTATATACCAGGAACAACATAATCAATACAAAAAATAACTCAGTTTCTTTACAGACTGGCCTATTGGACAACTTTATGTCTTGAGTTTCATGGCCCTGCACTAATCATGTATGAATGCCACTCATTTCAGTCATGTGCTTCCTAAGCGGTTGGGCAAATCACGAGGAACATATCTCTCTCTCTCTCTCTCCCTCCCTCTCACTTAAACACACACACAGAGAGGTTACTTCTAAGAATATTGACTCCTCCTCAAAGTCCAAACCAAGTGACATAAGAGACATTTTCTGCTGATTTCACTGTCACTAAGTTGACAAACCAATGCTGCACAATGTACCGCTTAATACATCATCAACCATTGCAAGATATAATTATATAAAATGACCACAGTCACAAATACAACATGACTTGGGAGACAACATGCAAATAGATGTATAAATAAAATGAAATCTATTTTTTCCCAGAATCTATACAAAAGTGAAAGACATATTAGTCAATTTGGGGCTAAAATGTTGACTAAATTCTGGAGAATTGGACAAAACAACTGGATCTGACTGACTGACCAATGGATTACGTCAGCCAGAGTGGGTATGTCCCTTTAGTTTGAGCAAGAGTGGTAGTTAACTGTTGTGCAATCTGTGCCTTTTCTGAACACTCAAACACTCTTCACTGCTCAGGGATGTGCACAATTTTCCCCAATACTCATCAGAGATTTCACCAAGAGCATACCCAGTGCATGATTAAGTTAATATGTGTTGTATTATATTGTATCACCCCCTTTAAGTGATCAATTGTTTATTTGAGAATGCACTGTTTGAAATAAATAAAAAGAGGAAAATGAGATACCTTGGTGTTTCACTAGGACAAAAAAAGAGAGATTTTGTCAGCCAGTATCATTATACAATGCAAGACTGAAGCTGCATCCACACAGAAAGTGATTTGCTTCAACAAGAGAGCAGAGAAAGTGAATGGCATTCAGCGATTAAGAGCAACTAAGGGTGAAATAACAGCTGGCGAGGTAAAGTTGGTGGAAACCAAGAAACTTCACCACCACCAGCCGAGTAATTGAAGTGAGTGAAAATTAGAGTGCACAAAACTGTTGCTTGACATATAATCTGGTAGTAAATACGTTAGAACATTACTTAGATAACCACAGCCTACAATGTCCACAAGCAACAAGATGTCAGCTTTGATGGGATCGGCGATGAGTGCTTCGCTTCCAGTGTTGACGCAAATCTGACCTTATAGCAAATCTTTTACGTTCTGTCCAATTCTGCAGTGGGTTCCAGTGAAAATGTATATTAATGTCTTGAAGGGCTATGTATAAACCTTTCCCATACACAAATAGACTAGATAGACAAAATAAAAAGTGATTTCTTAAGACACTGCTTTATCTTCTCCCATACCTTTGTCCTATCGGTGCTATGTAAACACTGATCACAATGCAACTGACAAAACAAAACCTGGGAAAAGTACTGCACTGTCAATAAGGAGGGCAGAAATAGCAGATGTCTGGCAATTTCCTCAAAGCTAAAGATGATCCTAATTGTATATTATAGCAGTTTAGTATGCAATTGGTAGTATACAAACATCAGCAAGGTTTCACCAGTGTACAAACATGGCCTCCCACTGGGAATTTTCTTTAAGAAAAAAACAAAACAAAAACAAAAAACCCTGTAGCCTTTATGATTGCTAATGTGCCTGAAATACCTTACTGCTCCAGTTAGATTGTGTACATGTT